TGATGGAGATTCAATATGGGTTAAGTACTTCTGCGGCCGGTGTGATAGCGGCAGATGTTCGTAATATTTGCACAAGGATTGTTGAGGTTTCCTTTTATCATATTAGACGATCTGCGAACAAGGCAGCTCATGGGTTAGCCCAGGCTGCGTGTTCTATGTCTGATTGTCGGTCTTGGTTTTATGTTCCTCCTAGTTTTATCATTCATGTTTGAACAATGATTTGATTAATGAGAATTAAGTATCCTTCCTTCAAAAAAAAAGTTATATTTCATTGAACTATCTAGTCTATTTGTATTTCATTGTTAAAATTTGTATTTTTTCTTGTTTTAGGGGGTCTCAATTTGTCATTTGGAATCGGGGCCTCCAAACTCATTAGACAACCTTGCAGACAGGGGCGGCGGAAGTGAAGGTCACGAAGGAGGCAACTATGGAGGTCAGGGCGGCGGAGGTGGCTCCAATAGAGGCGATAGAGGGGATGGGTATGGAGGTAAGGACGACGGAGGTCACTCCAATAGAGGCGACAAAGGTGGTGGGTATGAAGGTGAGGACGGCAGACGTCGCAGAGGCGGCGGGTATGGAGTTAAGGGCGACAAAGACTGCGGAGGCGGCAGGTATGGAGTTGAGGGTGTAGTGACTGCGGAGGTGGCATGTATTGGAATTAGGGGCGGTGAGTGGAGGAGTCGGAGAAAGAGGTACATCACAGTTGTGGTGGTTGTGGAAGCCAGAATGACAGAGGATGCAAAGGCTGAAATGCAGAAGAAAGAACGTAGCGAGCTAGTAGCCGACTCGCGTGGAGGGAGTGAGGGAAGGAAAGAAAGAAAGAAAGAAAGAATGTAGCACCTGACTCACATGGAGTGATGGAGGTAGAAAGACAAAAGAAGGAAGAAAGAAAGAATAAGTGAAAAAGAAAAGAAAAATTATAAATAAAATAATCGAAAACAGTAAATTAAACCAACTTAGACATCCTTATTCGTAAAATAGTAGATTTGGTTGTTTTTTGACACTTCACGAACCTAGCCGATTTCGAATAATATGAACTCAATCGACTTTTTGTGAAAAATACGTTGACATATTTAATAGTTTTCCTTAATTTTGAAATGAGCTAATAACTATAAATTGATGTAAAAGAATTGAGATTGAATGTAATACACGACCTAATGTTTAGTGCATAAAAAAGTAGGTGATATTTTGTTTGCTTTTCTTTCTTATTCACTAACCACTAGTATTGCACGGTTGGTGACTTTGAACATGTGTAATTAATTTTAGTTAAATTTGAAATAAAAAAATAAATCTGTAATTTTAATTGAATCGTTTAGAATTATACAAAAATAAAAATTGACATCAAATAAAATATATTCAATACAATTTACCAATGATTAGGCGATAGTAAAAATTTCTTTATAGTCCAGCAAAATATTAATCACCATGTATTATAAATATAATTTGAAAACACATTACATTCATGCTAAATCTTATAAAAACGCCTCTTTATACACAACAATCTCAGTTTCAATGTTCGTTCCTCTGTCATAGTTTGCCATGTGATTTTTTACACTTGTCGATAGGTTATTCTTGACACTGGCTAAAAACATGTTTTTTCAACAACAAACCAACACGACAACGACTATCTTTGACATTTATTTACAATCATGACATAATAAGTCATGTTTGGGTATTATCGCATCTGGAATTGGAATGCCAAACTAAAATTGAAGGTGTTAGGGAACGTTTGTAAATTAACAAATGTTCTCCCACACTAACCGTTGTTAAAGCTTTTAAAGGCATATATAAGTCAATTGAAGGTAAATTATTTATAACCATTAAGTAACAGTGCGATTATACGTTATACGAATTACATTTTTTAAACGAATTGTCTGTGTAAACATGCAAAAACAAGGGGATCCAAATATGTGAAAAATGTTCAAATATGTCCTTTTAATATTCCAAACATGGCGGTTGTGTCCTTATATGTAAAAAGTAATGGTATCATTTAAGCATGATTACTTTCAAAATACATTCAATATAGCCACATTGACCTGCTATAATAGTTCTTTTTTAAAAGAAGTTAGGAGAATTGAAAGTTATTTTTATAAAAACACATAAATTTTAAAATTATATAAATAGAAGTGTAAAAATAATAAAAATGCCAAAATGGATAAAAACCAAAAAACTTTTAAAATAAAAAAATGAATAAAAACACACACTATATAAAACTACCGTGTAAAAGTCTTTAAACAGGTAGAATATACAAATAATTAAAAAAACTTACCAAAAACACAAAAACCCCATATTACCAAAAACACAAAAACAGGCTATGAAACAACGGCACTAATATTACTCTCTAACTTTCTAATTCCAAAAATATAACTGTTTTCCTTTCTTGCTGCGCTCGAAGACATGGACGAAGACATCGACGCAACTCACAGGAGCAATCCACCAATGAAAAGCTTATCTCCTCTGCGGACAGAGCAACCGCCCGGACCACCTCTTCCTCCTCTCCTTGGCCGTCGCTGCCTTGGTCGTCACCATCGCCCTCCGCGGGCAAGGCCTAACGGATCATCGCTTCCGCCCTTCCCATGGTCTTCATCCTCCTCGCCCCGACGTCTAAAGCAGAAGGACCATCGCTGCTTTGGCCATCACCATCGCTCGCTGTCCTCACCCCACGTTCAGATCTGTGATGGCTTGGGACGGTTGGGGTTTATCCAGATCCAAATGGCGGCTAGGGTTGGTTGGGGGGTATTGCGATGGACTGGGATGGGATTTGGGCCAAGGATAGCAAGGGAGGGACTGAGGAGGGGGGGGGGGGGGGGGGGCTAGGGTAGGGATGAGGACTCGGTTCGGGCCTTGAACCGGTCGGGCCTCGATTCAAGGTATGGGAGGCCCGGAACCGGCCTGGGTAACCCCCGGGTCCGGGCCGGGCCTCGGTTATATATTTTTTTTGGGCTTTTCCTATTTAACCCAAAACCTCCCCCTCACCCCCAAACCAACCCTAATCACCTCAAATGACCCAAAATACCCAGCCCAACCCAAAAACTTAAAAAAATTCAAAAAAAAATAATAAATTCGCCCGGCCCGGGCCCGAATCGGCCGGGCCGGTTCACCTTTTGAAGGGCCCGAGCCTGAACCGAGAATCCACCGGGCCGGGTGGCCCGAACCGGTCAACCAACCGGTTCACCGGGCCGGTCCGGGCCCGCACAGTGGCGGGCCGGTCCGGTTTCGGGCCGGTTGGCCCGGCCCGAGTCCACCCCTAGGCTAGGGGGCTGGGCAGGGGGGTTGGAGGTTGAAAAGGGTAGGCTATGAGCTGTCAATGGCGGAGGTAAGCCCACCGGCGGGCCATGGCAGATGGCGGCCGCCGAAATGTTGCGACAGAGACCGGCGAGGAGACGCTGGTAACTAACCGGAAGGCGGTGGCCGGAGTAATTTTGTGCCACTGTGACGGGTGACAGACAGGCGGCGAAGATGTCACGGTGACAAGAGGTTGGGCAAAGATATCACTACAGAAATGTGACTATGGTGTTGTCACCAATGGAGGTGTTGTGGCCGGCAGCGGCGGTAGTGACACGAGCGGCATTGATATTTGTGGCGGTGGTAGTGACATCTGATTAGTTACAGTTTCGCCGATAAAGGTTAACGGAAAATTTTCTGGCTGTTATAGTGACATTAAAAAGTGACATAAAAATCTGATAGAGACAAATAATAATGACATAAAAATCTGATAGTTACTTAAAAAATTAGTGACATCATGTTTTTCCATATATGTGATTTTCTTGGTCACATTTTTGTCCTTTCATAAAAGTGGTCACTTTTTTGAAAAATTACTTCAAATAGGTAATATTCAAGGAAAAACCCCATAGATATTTCCGTTGTGAGGATGCACAAATTCCTTTGTGTGGAGAAGTGAATAAAGGCGAAAAATTCAATAAAATATTTAAGTGGATATGGAATTTAGTGTTCCCATAATCCCATTGCTAAGTGAATATTATCAAGGAGTACAATCCTATTGTGTCATGACAATTGTTAGACCATCGTAGCATCTTATGTGTTTTGGACGATTGATATGTGTTCTCACTTCTCACATTAACGATGTTTTGACTTGAATTATTTTCAGTCTCAAATCAGACTTAAAAAACAAAGATCAGACCAGACCAGACTTAAACAGACTAGATCAAATCAAACTTTCGTAGTTATAAATACAAAGAAACCAAACATTTACCATACCAGACTTAAACAGATCAGATTAGACCAACAAATAACTGTCCAAGTAAAGACATCATAAGGTGTCAAGAATCCCAAATTAAAGTTCCCGTATTTATTTTTGACAATTTTTCTTATAAAATGACCCTCATACCCTTGTTAACTTTATCCTTTGTTTTATGAATAGCAAAGTTGCTGATATCTTACTTTGAATAGTAGGGGTAAGAACTTTTTGTAAGGATATAATGAGAAAGTTAAAAGATTTTTAATATTTCTTAAAAATCCTAAAATAAAAGTGAGAACATATTTAGTGGCGGACCCAGAAAGTTGGAGTCACGGGGTCCCTACCCTTACATATCTTTGATCTCTAATTAATGTAAAACTAATAAAAAAATATTAAAGAAGCATAACACTTCAAAGTTAACGTACACCATCAAAATATTAAGATATATTATAAAGCAAAAACTTACATATAAAAGTCATTCAACAATTCTATAGATGTACTCTCCTAGGCTTCATTTGTTGGAAATATTCTACAATAGAATCATCACTAATAGTACCAAAAACATCTCTCTCAACATATGTAACTAAGCAATCATTCAACCATTGATCGCAGATCTTGTTGCGCAACTCATTCTTCACAAACTTCATATTTGAAAACGCCCGTTCAACACTCGCTGTAGCTACTGGGAGAAGTAGAGATAACTTAATAAGTGTATACACATGCTGATATGTGAGATGTTTCTTCGTGGAAACCATTTCAATTGAAAGGTCTAATAAACCATTCAAATCTGAAAATCTATTATCAGAACGGACATCTAAAATATAATTCTCAAGCTGATTCTCGAGTATCTTTTGATCAACGTCAGAAAACTCTTTTGGATAAAATTCTGCCAATTTAAGCAAAGATGCCCTATCAAAAGCTTCAAACGAGGAGGAAGGACATAAACAAGACACACAACGCAATAACTCAGTGCTTGCCACATCAAACCTGCTATCAAGCTCAGTCACAAACAAATTAACAATCTCATGTAAACAATCATACTTGTAATGATGCATGTTCGTTATACTCGGTGCCCTGCGCTTCGATCTTTTTTCCTTTGATGTAGTTCTGATCCATTGAAGGCACATCTATATGAAATTTGTTACAAAAAGTAACAACCTCATCAAACAAAGCACCCCATCCAATATCTGTTTTCATTGCCGCTAAACGTTGTTTGACAAATGTGACTAGTTTCAAAGCATTCACAAGATCTTGTTCACGCCTTTGCAATGCCTGTGAAAGATCATGTGTAATGGCCAAAACATTGATCATCAAATGAAGCATGAAACAAAATTCAAAAGTTTGCAATTCATTCAACAATGAAGTGGCTTCACCACTTTTATCATGGTCTTCCAAATCTTCGAGCACCTCAACCACAGATTTAAATAATTTTTGCAAATTAAGCAATGATTTGTAATGAGAACTCCATCGTGTATCACCTGCTCTGACAAGTGCTAACTGTTGATTCAATCCTCTTCCTGTTTTTACTAGTCCAACTTCTAAAGCACTTATCAAATCACTTGCTTGTTTATCTCGAAGGCACTTTTGTCGCTTATTTGATGAGCAGATCTCATTAATTACGCGACTAACATGAAGAAGTAACCAATTAACCTCATGTTGTCCTTTAACAGCGGCAACAAGTGACAATTGCAATTGATGAGCTAAACAATGGACATAATATGCATAGGGATTTTCATTTTGAATTAGAGTTTTCAATCCACCAAACTTACCCCGCATATTACTCGCTCCGTCATAGCCTTGTCCTCTTATGTTTGAGATGCACAGACCATATTGTGTTAGAATGTTCTCAAGAGATTCTTTAAGAGGTGATGCAACTGTGTCTTTTACATGAACAAGACCAATAAATCTCTCCAAAACAGAACCATTACTAGCAATAAAACGCACAACAATAGCCATTTGTTCTTTACCAGAAACATCCCCTGATTCATCAACTAATATAGCAAAAACATCATCTCTCATTTGCTTAATAATTTCATGAACAGTTAGAAATGCACAAGCATAACACAAGTCCTTTTGAATTTTGGGTGAAGTCATCTGATTGTTTTGTGGAGCATTTTTTAGGACTCTATCTATCTCAGAATCATGTTGTCTCAAAAGATCTAAAGTCTCAAGAAAATGACCTTTATAACTAGACTTTATTGATTCGTCATGACCCCGAAATGGCAAACCCCCACAAAGAAGAAATCTAGTGCACTCAAGTGATGCCTTCAAGCGAATAAGGTAATCAGACTTTGCTTGTTCAGATTGTTTCACAAAACATGCTCCAATACTTTGTTTTTGGTTCATCAAATCTTCCAATCTTTTCACCGCATTGTAATGAGGACTGTTAGGTTTACCAACATGTAAATAAAATCTCTTTTTTATTCCATGCTGAAAACCCAATTCCCACAAAATGATCACCCCCAACTTCCCACTCATTCTTAAACAAATAACATGGCAAACAAAATGCAGCATCTTTAGCAATACTGTATTCCAACCATTTATGCTCATCAAACCAACTTGAAACAAATCTACGTTTTTTGCCTCCAATTAACTTAAAAGGGAAATCATGGTCCCGAGGTTGAAACGGTCCTTTTTGAATGTAACTACGACGTACCTCGTCTTGAACATTAGGGTGAAAATCAGCAATTCTTTTTTCTCAATCCAGGATCAGCTTCCAAAGATTCAAAATCCTCATGTTGTTCAGGTAGATTATAAGCCAAATTAGCTTCACTTTCAGCAATTACTTGATCCAATTCTTCATTTACTAATGGCGGATCATTTGAATTAACACCCGAACTACTCTCGGTACTTTGAGTTTCTTTAAATTTGGGTACAACATCAAAATATCTTTTCATCCTAAATCGTATAAAATTGAAAATAACATTTATAAATACATGAATTTATTAATTTAATCTAACATTAAAAAAAGATATGCAAAGAAAAGCAATTAAAAGCAATTTAAACATAGAAATTGAAATTTGAAAACCCTAATTTTTGAGCATAAAGAAAATCCAACAAAAAGCTTGAGATTTGAGAAACGCCATTAATGGAGAAAAGAAGAGAAAGTACCTTGCCGCCTTGGCCGCTTGGCCCGCTTGTCCGGTTGTCCCGCTGACGGCTGGCCACTTCCTGCAATCCTGCTGGCTGCTTGTCAACTTGCCGTGGCCGGTCACTCATCGTGGAAGGAAAAGAGGGGCAGGGATCGCAGGGGGCTTCGGGCTTCGGTAGTTCAGCCGCTTCGCAGAATCGCGGTTGCCGGTTGGGACTTGGGGGCTGCGTGAAAGACTGAAAGCGTAATAGGAGAAGGGCTGAAGGGGGCTGCCGCGAGCTGGGACGCTGGGTGCGTGAAAGGAAAAGGGGCTGCCGGGTTGGGTCTTTTGTTTTGGGCTTAAGTTGGGCCGTGGCTTTCCATGAAGACAAAAAAAGGCCCAAAAAAAATACTCCAACATGATTCGAACGTGATACCTCCGGGTAGCATAGATACTTTGCTTCCGGACGTGTTCCCGTTCAGCTACACCATTGACCATCCTTATTGTTTTAAAGTTGTTTTGTGTTTATATATACATTGAATAAGTAATTTTAAATAATATATATATATATAATATATAATATATATAGGGTTTTTTCCCGAGGTCCACGGGGTCCCGAGACCCCTTGGGACCCTTAGTGGGTCCGCCACTGAACATATTTGAGAACCAGGGAGTATATTGCGCCTAGGGATGGATTCGGTTCGGGCCACCCGGCCCGTGACCCGGCCCGGCCCGGTACTGTGCGGGCCCGGGACCGGCCCGGTCGGGCGGTCCGGGACCGGGTATGGACCCGAACCGGGGGGAAGGGGCGGGGCGGGCTCGGTGCTGGATTATTGTGACCCGGCCCGGCCGGGTCGGGCCCGGGCCCGGGTCCGGTCTAATTTAAAAAAAAAAAAAATTTGTTTGGGCTCTTGGGCTACTAGCCGTTGGGGGTGGGGTTGGGGACAACCCAAACGGCTATATAGCCGTTGGATGGGGTAAAGGGGGGGTCCGGGGGGGTTGGCTGGTGGGGGGGTGGTGGTGGGGGGGGTGGGGGGTAAAAAAACCTATAAATACTCCTAATCTTAAACATTTTTTCATATCTCTTCTCCAATTCTTCCTAAATCCTATTCTTAACTCTCTACTCTCTAATTCTCTTATTCTCCATTCTCCAATATATTATATTTATTATTTATAGTTTATACTTTATATTAATTATCTACTTATATAAACTATAAATAGATATAAATAGTATTATATTACTTATATTTGTTATTTAATTATATATTACATATATATTTATTATATCTATTAATATAGTTGGAATTATATCTAATTAATTTGAAGTCATTCTATTACTCCCATCCGAAAGACCGAAAGTCCGAAAGAGGTACGAAATTATTCTATTATTTACACTTGTTTAATTACTAGTTAATTTGCTACATTTGACTCTTGTTTAATAGTTAGAATGTTAGATAAATAGTTAATTAGTTTTTTACAATTTTTTATTAATTGCTACATTTGACTTTAGTTTAAAAATTATGTTGTACACAAAACTAGTTAATTCACTACTTAGTTTGCTATAACTCGAATTAATAGTTAGATAAATAGTTAATTAGTTTTTTACAATTTTTTATTAATTGCTACATTTGACTCTAGTTTAAAAAATATGTTGTACACAAAACTAGTTAATTCACTACTTAATTTGCTATAACTCGAATTAATAGTTAGATAAATAGTTAATTAGTTTTTTACAATTTTTTATTAATTGCTACATTTGACTCTAGTTTAAAAAATATGTTGTACACAAAACTAGTTAATTCACTACTTAATTTGCTATATCTCGAATTAATAGTTAGATAAATAGTTAATTAGTTTTTTACAATTTTTTATTAATTGCTACATTTGACTCTAGTTTAACAAATATGTTGTACACAAAACTAGTTAATTCACTACTTAATTTGCTATAACTCGAATTAATAGTTAGATAAATAGTTAATTAGTTTTTTACAATTTTTTATTAATTGCTACATTTGACTCTAGTTTAAAAAATATGTTGTACACAAAACTAGTTAATTCACTATCGCTACATTTTTTAGATGGATCGTCCTAGATATTCGGTTGATATGGGTAACCTCGAGCGCAACCGAACGAAAGAGCTTGCGAGGAAGAGATCCCGCAAAGGTAAATCACATATCGACTCTTCATCTCAAAGTCAAGATGATTTTGATACGGGTTACGTAAGGAGGGATGGGGATGCGATGACCGACGAACAACTAGAACAAGAATTGCACCGACATAATTCCCGCTTTTTTCAAGACCAACCGAGGACCATTGACGAAGAAGAGCTCGAGGACGACGATGTGGAGGAAGCAATTCCGGAGAGCCACGACGACGACGAGGAGGAGGGTGGCGGCAGCCATGACGCCGACCAAGCAGCCTCATCCCAAACAGGTACAAAAAAAAGTAAATCTGAATTAATGGCTAATAATTTTTCTAAGTGGAAGGACCCGAACACCGGGAATTGGACCGCAACTTGCAATTGGTGCAAGAAAAACTATAGCTTGGGGATTTCCGACGGATACGGATCCGCCACAACTCACAAGACACCTTAAGTCCAAACACCCGGTGGAGTATGCAAAATTAGGCGGCGGAACGGGGAAGCAAACGCAAATATCGAGGTTTACAAATAACCAACAAGCTTTTGGTAATTTCTCATACAATGATGCAAATAACCATTGCCAATGTATGAGGACAACCCAATTGATCCGAAAAAAGAATACAACGAGGTTAGTGGTATATTTTATGCATTATTCAATGAGTTTCATGCACAATATGGCAATGCGCCCCCTCCCCCGACACAAACATCATCTAAAGGAAAATAAATTTTAAAATCTACGTTTGCCAATCTTATTAAAAAAACAAAATCAACTCGCGCTACACAACAAAGCACAATTAATGAGATTTCTTTGTATTTAACTTATGATGTTGATTTTGAAGAAGATGATGATTTTGACGTACTAAACTGGTGGAAGGGAAAAGAAAGAATGTTCCCGGTTTTAGCAAAGATGGCTAAGCAAGTGCTATCAATGCCGGTTTCAACGGTTGCCGTGGAACAAGAATTTAGTTCGGCCGGCAATGTTCTAACACAAACCAGAACGAGGTTGAGCGCTGAATCTCTTGAGATGCTTATATGCTACCACGATTGGTTGAAAGCAGCACGTAGAGCTCAAGAAATTGACATCACTCCATCCCCACACTTTATGGATGAATCTACAACAGAGGGTGGCTCTACCTATGCCAGAGATTCCGATTAAAAACAATTATAGTTCCTATTTAATTTTCAAATGTAGTTCCTATTTCATTTGAAATAGATGCACTTGAAGTTTGTTTTTTAATACTTGTATAAAACTATAAAGTGTAAAATATAAATTTTAAAAAAAAATATTTAACCGGCCCGGCCCGGCCCGGCGGGTGGCCCGACCCGTGACCCGGGCGGGTGGCCCGGCCCGAACCGGACCCGTCCAACCCTCGGGCCGGTCCCGGGCCCATGTGATACGAACCGGCGGCCCGGGCCCGACCCGGCCCGAATCCATCCCTAATTGCGCCTCTGACATATGCCTCATTGGACAATGCAACTTAAACAATATGCAATATTTAAAAAAATTAAATGCCGCAACTATGCATTTCACAATTTTGGACCCTGGTCTGAATACTATTTTGGTTAGAAAGAAACAGGCCAAAGAAGGTCGTATTGCCGGTACACAAATCTAAAAAATGAGTATTCGGTTGATTCATTTTTAGCAATGACGAACTCCTGTGTGCTCTTATGGAGTCCAAGTGTCCAACTGCCACAAAGGTTTTTTTCAAAGGAAAACATATTCATTTTCATTTTTTGCAAAAATGAAATAAAAAACCTATCACATATTCACATCATGTTTTGAAAATGAAAAATAGTTTATCAGGACAAAGTGCCAAATAATGAGACGGGAGAATCCAGCTGCTCTGGAAGCAACTGAGAGTCTGAGACCAAAGACTGGGGTACAATCGTGTTGAACGAGGATCGAGACCAGTGGTGGAGCCTGAAATCTATGGTTATGGGGGTTAGGCTTTGAAAAGTTCACATTGCAGGGGCCCTCCAGCCCGTCCCTGTCTCCACCCTTGGAGACCAAACCGAACTCACCTGTTTCCGCTTGATAAAAAATGATAGAAAATGATAAAGCCATAATGCCAAACCTTCACTCTTTGAGAAGTTTGAATCGTCTGATAGTAAATAGATTCTAGGCGATCAATTTCATATACAATGGTAGAATAACTCACATATGGACGTCCAAGTGTGGGCTATTATTATCCATACAAGCAGGTAAAATAATATCAAAACTGATCACACTATCACTCTTCTAATTACGACTTTCCCTCTAACCAGGCCTGCCTCTTCAATGGCAATTCTTTGTTGCACCCGTTTCCGCCTTATACAAAATATAGAAGATGATAAAGCCGTAATATAAAACCTTTGCTCTTTCAGAAGTTTGAATCGTCAGATGGTAAACAGAAATGACCTTGTGCTGGCAATGGCAATTCCTTGTTGCACTTAATTCATTTATATTGGAATTGTACCAAAGTGAAAAAAATGACTCAAGATCGTCCATGATACCTATAAATCATTAGCCCTCCTCCGTAGTTCATTCAGTTCTTTCTCAATGTCAGCATCCTGAAACTGCAATGACCTTGTGCTGGCAATGGGCGTTCTGCCAGGCGGAAGCTCACCTTTCTATTCATCAATGGAAATATAGCTCTCGTCAACAAGAAATAATTCTTACAGAATTCAATCAAAAGTAAAGTCATACTCCTACCTAAGTACCCAGTACCCAGTAGAGGAAGACATTTTTAAATTTACCCTAATGTTGAGACTGCACTACCTAGTTTCATTCTTTCTCTAACACATGCTGAAATATTAGAAGAACTGGTAAATATGGTAAAAGTGCATGTACAAAAGATTCCTTCCAATGGAATCTATAGACAGGTTCTTCCCTTAGAAGCCCAACACCCGAAACCCACCTCCCTCTCAAATACAAAAGTAAAACATGATAGAATAATATTAGTAGCAATCATCTTTTATTCTGTTAATGAATATGATTTACCCTAACCAATTCACCATCACCGAACTCTTCAAGAAACATGAAAAGTGAAAAGGTTGCACTGAAAATTTTCTTGAAACATTTTCTATAAAGATTAACAATTATCAAGGTACTACTTTGTTTCAACATTTTAAAATTGAGAAAATGGTCAAAATGGCACATGAAGTTATTTCGATTGGAGTAAGTAGTACTTCATCTTGCACTTGAAATTTTAAAGTACATCAACTTGTACTTTTATAGTCGACCAAGCACATTTGCTCTGTCATAACGTTAAAATAGCTGACCTAGCCAAACTATCCGTTTGTATTATACAGTTGCAATCCAAGTCATCAAATAATTAATCTATAAACTTTATTTTTCTCCTATCCACTCATTATGTAATAATAATAATAATAATTCGTAATAATAATAATGCATATACATTCATGCTTATATTATACCCATTATGTATACTCCGTATTATATTTCATATTTCAATTATATGTGAAAATATATTTCTATTATATTTTTAAGATTTTGTAACTGATGTCATATCTATATATTTTATCCATCCACATCCAAATCTATTTTAAATTTTGTTAAAACCAACTCTAAAATAATGATTTCTTAATTGGATTATATTGTATCATCATTATTAATTTACGAAGGAATAAAACTTTCTACCTATGAATTTAATATTATATATGTATATATATATTTAAATATGAAAGATTATATATGTGTGTTGATCGGGTTTTCCGGTCGTTGACCAGCCTGACCCGTCGGGTCCGGGTTAACCCTTGACCCGGCCATCGCTCCGGGTTGCTCTCCGGTCCGGTTTTTAAAACATAGGTGGAAACGAGTGGACCGGAGTAAATTAGAGTTTATAAATTAATTATTTGATGACTTCGACTACAACGGTACATTACAAACTAATAGTTTGGCCATGCCAGCTATTCTAACCTTCTAACAGAGCAAATGTACTTGATCAACTTTAAAAGTGCAAGTTCATGAACTCTGTATTTTCAAGTGTAAGATGGAGTACTATTTACTCCATTTGAAACAAGTTCATGTACCATCTTGACCATTTTCTATTTTAAAATTAAACATGTGAAAACCGATATCCGGAAAATAGTGCACCCTGAATCAACAAAATTTGCATTCTTAGAGAAAAAATTACCTTTGATTTTCCACCCAATTCTTTTTTTAGTTCATCAAGATCACTGTCAACTGAAGAGCTCTCCAACATCGCAAACTGTAGGAGATAAAAACATAGAAGCGAAAACATTATCCAGAAAAAAGGTTCAACAGATTATTAATGATAGCAAAGAGCAGGGACAGAGCCAGGATATGGTCGAGGGGGGGGGGGGTGAAATTATAAAAAATAATACGGAGTAACATATAAAATAAAAATGTAATAACCAGTAATCAAAGTACGGAGTACTAGTTTTCATTTAAAACATTCAAAATACATGATTAAATGATAGGGACCTAGATAGTATTAGTGATAAGAATAATAGTCTTTTAATAGTGTATAATAATAAAGGGCTTAGGCCGTGTAACTGAGTAGCATTGGGCTGGCCCATAAGGAATATATTAAATATGGGTAAGGGCTTAGAAGAAGGTAGGCAGAAATTGGAATTAGGCTTGAGACTTGGGAGAGGGGACTGCTCGAAGTGTTTCGTTCTGATTTCTTCTATTTCTTTCTGTTCTTTTCTGTTCAGTTGTAATCAACCAGACTTTCGTCTTCAATAAATCGTAAATTTCTACTGCTTTTGTTGAGGTATCTAACATTGGTATCAAAGCGTAGCTCCTGGAGATCGGAATTGAGTTGCGACTTCAGCGAAATTTTCATTTGAAGTGGTGAATGGTCCGGACGCGAGCTAAAATGGATTTTCGCATGGATAATGTGGAGCGAAGACTACTGGAGGTTCAAGCAGAGATGAAGGAGGAATTACAATCAGCTGTGAACGATCAACGTTCAACAATGGAAAATTTGGCGGCAAACTTGACGGCTTCCATGGCCGCATTGAGTAAACAATTTCGGTCCAGAGCGAGATCGCGATCACCACATCAGCCTCATGTACGATCTTCTACAGTCCAAAAGCTTCTGGAGGTAATCCCAATCACTCTCGCATCCAAAATCACCGAATACATGAGGATTGTAATCGGTTTACAGTTCAAACTGGAAGGAAAATTGATCTACCTGTTTTTACTGGAGAGAGTGCGTATAACTGGATTGTGAGGATGGAGAGATATTTTTGTTTGAATCATATCAATGAAGAAGAACAGGTGGAAGCAGCCGTAGTCGCTATGGAAGATAGGGCTATAAATTGGTTCATCTGGTGGGAGCATTAAACTGAAAGGAGGAATTGGGAGACTCTGAAGGCATTTGTCATCCGCAGGTTCCAGCCAGATTTAATACAAAATCCATATGGACCTATGCTAAGCTTGAAACAGACTGGGACAGTGAAGGAGTTTAGGGATGAGTTTGAAATGGTGATACCACCTCAGATTAATGTGGACATGGGGATTCTGAGAGGAATTCTTATCAATGGCTTGAAGGATGAGATAAAAGCTGAGCTGAAATTACATAATTCTAATTCCTTAGCTGAAGTGATGGATAGGGCTCTATTGATTGAGAGTAGAAATGAAGCTGTTTACCTGAGAATAAAGGAGGAAGACAGGCTATCATGGAAGGAGTACGGACCTGCAACTACAAAATCTAAGACATGGGTGGATGGATTTAAATCAAAAGTAGGAAATTCTTGGTCTGACAGTACTGGGAAGAGTGCAGCGGGAAACAAGAGTAACCCACCTTGGTTTACTCCTGATGGAAAGGAGACAGAAATAAAACCCTCAGACATCAGAAGGGTGGGGCCACAACTGTCACACGAAGAATATCAAGACAGGAGCAGGAAACGACTTTGCTTTTGTTAGAATCCCACATCGGAAAAGTTTGAATCAACAAAGTGCTATATTAAGACATGAGCTACTCCTCCTATCAGGTTATCTTTTAGGATGGAACCCCAGGTCTTAACATGGTATCAGAGCCAAACCGATCCATAACCATGGTGTGGCCCCCCTTATGAAAAATAACGACACGATTAAAAAATTGACAATGACGAACCGACGAAAAAATGACTGACGGCACGATCCAAACAAAGTGTCTGGTCGTGAGAAGGGGTGTTAGAATCCCACACCGGAAAAGTTTGAATCAACAAAGTGCTACATTAAGACATGGGCTACTCCTCCTATCAGATCGACCTTTTAGGATGGAACCCCAGGTCTTAACAACTTTAACAACAACAACAACAACATCCAAGCCTTAATCCCAATGATATCGATGCCAAACAGAGAAGACGAACAAGAAAGGGAAGAAAAAAAAGTAAGATAAAACGAATAAAATAAAGATATATAAATATAAGATAACAATAACACTAGAATATAAGAAAGATAAAAGATAAAAAAGAGCATAAAAAGCTAGAATATAAAAATAACATAAGAATATACAAAGATCATCATCATTTTCATTTACCTCAGTGCCGCAAAGGCTCCCACCTACGGTGGGGTAAGGGGGGGTCGGATGTACGCAGTCTTACCCATGTACTAAAGCACAGAGAGACTGTTTCCGGATGACCCATAGTGAAAATTTCGTCCAAAATTGCATGGACTGACTACTGCTTCATAACAAAGAAGCGCAGACAGTTTAGTGAGCCATTTTGCTTTATTCCATCATAATCTCAAGCCAAAAAATAATGAATCTTTGGCTCCATTTCAAATGATGGAAAAAAGAATATACAAAGATAAAGAAGATAAACGATAAAAGAAAAAGGAGAGGAAAGGTAGAAAGACATCAATCGTCCACACGGATGTGCGCCCTCCACTTTGCTCTCTCAAAAGTCATACTCTCATCCAACCCAAGAAGACACATATCAGTTCTGATTCCTCTAATCGAAGTCTGTTTGGGTCTTCCCCTCCCTCTCTTCTCTGCCTCTTCTCCCCACCCTCAAGTCATCTAACAGGTGCATCATTCGGTCTTCTACGCACATGCCCAAACCACCTCAAACGAGACTCCTGCATCTTATCTTCTATAGGTGCTACTCCCACCTTTTGTCTGATTATCTCATTCTTCAAACGGTCTTTTCTGGTATGTCCACACATCCAACGCAACATACGCATCTCTGCCACACTCATCTTTTGAATGTGGCATTGCTTCACCGCCCAACGCTCTACGCCATACATTAAAGTAGGCCTAATTGTTGTTCGATAAAATTTACCCTTCAGTCTAGTCGGAATACCTCGATCGCATAGAAATCCTGAAACACTCTTCCATTTCATCCACCCAGCTCTGATTATATGGCATACATCTCCATCTAATTCACCATCCTTAACAACTTTAAGTGTGGGGAAAAATGGAACAAGGAACATACCTGCAAATTAAAGAATTACAAACTCATACTGGTGGAAGATTCTGATAGTGAGGAAGAAGTAGAAGGTGAAATTGCAACAGAAGAAGTAACTACCATGGAATTTAAGTCCATGCAACTTTCTATTATGAGTAAGGAAGGGATACCATCCATGAGGGCTTTCAAGGTGCAGGGGATTCTGAAATGGGCCAATGGAGAAAAGCAAGTAGAGGTTTTGATTGATAGTGGGGCTTCACACAATTTCATATCTCAGAAATTGGTAGAACAATTCAATTTACCTTATCACACTATCTCAGACCATAAGATACAGATTGGAAATGGTGATAAGATCTCCAATAAAGGCAGATGTGAGGATTTAATTTTGAGTATGCAAGGAACTGTCATCCAACAAAACTTCTACATCCTGGAGTTGGGGGAAACTGATTTGGTCCGTGGTATGGAACGGTTGACCACTTTGGGGGATGTGGAAGTCAATTTTCAGAAGCACAGTATCAAGTGGCAACAGTCAGGGGGGATCCTAAGCTAAATTCTATTGAAATATCATTGAAGACTATGTCACAGATCATGAGGGATATTGAGATGGTTATATGGTGTTCTGTGAAGGCAGAATAGGAGAAGAGGAGGAAGGCCCTCAGAAGGATCCCATTTGGGAAGAAATCTTGGCTGCATTTCCTGAGGTGTCAACTCCTATACAAGGGTTACTTCCCACCAGAACTTGTAACCATGCTATCAACATAAAGGAAGGAGCAGAAATACCTAACTTAAGGCCCTACAGGTATCCACAATATCAGAAGGATGAGATTGAAAGGATCATCAGGGAAATGCTTCAATCTGGAATTATACATTTGGGTGGAATCAAGGTGGAGCTGGATCCTACCTTTCAGGCGGTTGTGATTGATGCCTCCCAGATAGGGTACCTAGTGGATCGAATTTTAAAACAAGAAACTGTTAAGGGAATCACAGTTGCGAGAACATTGTTGGATGTACTGAATATTCATTGCGAAGCTCTTGGTCCAAATGCAAAGATTTTGCCACATCATGTGTCCGAGCTGAAATATTGGGATGGCAGAGGCGCGAGGAAGAAGCTGAAGGACATGGCTGTTTCGTACTCCACACCTTGAAGACAAGGTGATTGTCAAAAGGGGGAGTATTGATAGGGACCTAGATAGTATGAGTGATAAAAATAATAGTCTTTTAATAGTGTATACTAATAAAGGGCTTAGGCCCTGTAACTAGTTAGCATTGGGCTGGCCCATAAGGAATATATTAAATATGGGTTGGGGCTTAGAAGAAGGTAGGCAGAAATTGGAACTAGTCAATCGTTCTGATTTCTTCTCTTTCTTTCTGTTATTTCATGTTCAGTTGTAATCGACCAGACTTTCATCTTCAATAAATCGTAAATTTCTGCTGCTTTTGTTGAATGCCATGGTAATTAAAATTTAGACGAATTATTTCTCAAGTATTGACTAGTTTTAAATCAGAAAATATACCCTAGCACATACTTAAATAATTAAGATTTCCTTAAATACAAATTTATAAGTATTATTTCTTAAGTAGTCACTGATTTTTGAATTAATTATTCAAGCAATAACACAAATCTTATAACAGTGTTAACAAAAAAAGAATCCCACATCTAACAGATGAAAAATGACAAAATGCTTAAATTACTTAGATGGAAAAAGCTCCAAATTCCAATATTCATCTCAGGCTTGACTGCTTGAGCTCACTGGCCACTGCTGCAGGAGATGGGAGACCGCAGCATACAAGTATCAACAGCCAAACTATTTTTTTTTATTAAATACTTGGAGCGGAGTACTGGACTATAATTTGAAAGAATTTTAATAGGGTTTTAGGCCCAACCATGAATGGCCTGAAGCTTCCATGTGGTTGATGATTTATGCTTCATACGGAGGTTACTAATATACTACTAGTCTAAATTAAAGTGTTGGGGGGTGCAAAAATTAAATAATTAATACTCCCTCCGTCCCATTGGATTTTACCAACTTTCCTTTTTTGGTTGTCCCAAAAAACTTTGCTTCTTTCCTACTAAAGCAACTAATTTGTGGTTCTGCACATTTCTCTCTCCTCTGCACAAATCTCAACCACGTAGTTTTTACTATTCTTATTTCTCACCTACTTTGCACTTGGCAAAGTCCACTGGAACAGAGGTAGTACTAACTAATAAAAAAAATTGGGGGAGGGGCATGACCCACCTAGGAGATACTGTACATCTGTCCCTGAAAAAGAGAAACTACAAGAAAACTTTAATGACAGACTTGATTAAATATAACAGAGCATTATAGCCAGGTTCTATTTCTATATGAGGCATTCACCTCAACTTCTGAATTAACTTTAGAGTTTAATTAGGCCAAGAGATAACTAAACCACAATCAGTATACATTTTTGTTCACTATTGGCATCAGGAAAAAATGAAGATGCTTACCTTTCCTTCAAGTTCATCACTTGTTAACTGGTTAAGAGCATCTGCTTGAGATTCCATGGTCATAACTATCACGAGAAACAAAAGCTATTGTCAACCATTCCACTACATAGTTACGTTAACTGGTTAAGAGCATCTTCTGAGATCCTGTGGTCATAACTATTACGAGAAACAAAAGCTATCGTCAACCATTCCACTTCATAGTTATATCTAATCTAGGGAAAACATGTGCAAGCACATTCTGTGAGTGATTCAAAGCCAAAACTACAATTTTTTTCACATAAGTTGCAGACTTGCAGGTGACTAGATGTTTATCTCTAGTTGTCAACTTTTTGTACATATATAGTCTTCAATCTTTTGTAAACATAGTCTTTTGTTGTATCACATTATTACGTTTTTAGTCCACAATTCGCAATCCTATGGAGAGGAAAGTGGAGTACCTTTTTCCTCCATTCTTTCAAAGGCTGAAAGGGCACTGCTAGTGTTTACATTCCCAAGCATCTCAGATACTTTGGTTGCAGTCCTAAAAGAATGACGGTCGGTGGAATAAATATTAGCAAAAAATGTAGTAAAAGAAAAGATGAGTAAATTCTGTGCCACTAGAATGTTGATAATAAGTAGACAAGAAATGGTACAATGATCATCAAATATAGATAACAAATGTAAGGCTACAAGGAGCGAGAACCCACTTAGCAGATTGAGCGCGTGCTTTTAGTGTATCTTTTTTTGACTTTGCTTCTTGTATCTTGCTCTCCAAAAGCTGTTGTGAAAGAAATACAAGCATATAAATGTTAAATTATGTGATATATATTCAGTATATAATTATTCAATCCAACTACAAAGGCTTCTTAGCAGAGCACCCGTGTATTGTTGACCAGATTGTCAACCACACCCTTTTGCTGATCAAGCTGAGCCTTCAATGCATTTGCATTATCCTGTAAAATTTAAAGAAAGTTTACTAATTGAGTGAAAGCATGGAAATTAAAGCCTGTCATTACTGGCAGTTTTTTGTCTTTAGTATTCCCAGATCAACGTAATATAACACAACTCGGCTGGATGCACAAAAATATTTTACTGTTTTACAATGGAGTACTTTTTGTTTCAAAATATGTTGCAAAGAAAACAATTATTAAGCACCCTCTTAGTTCTCTTTGATTGAAACTGTATAAATAATAAGCCGGACTAAGTTCTCTCATACAGTTAACACTGCTAGAACTCATATTTGATAAACAAAATGCATATAGATTCTCAGTAAACCTGCTTGTCGTGACTCAAATATCAAATACAAAGGTTTAGCTACTATCACAGTTTCCATCTTTCTCTAAAGAACCATACATTCAAGAAAAAACTAAAGCACTTCTTTTACAGAGAGCCTTTACAGCATAAGATTTTCTTCGCTTGAGAGCTTCACGTGCAAGATCCTCGTCTCCCTTTCCAAGAGCAAGTTGCGCTCTACGATACCTGTAACAAAAACAGTGAATAAAGCTCACAGCTATAAAAGAGCATAACAAAACAAGCCAAGCCTCCTCAGCTGTTACCAGTCCTCAGATGCTTGTTGTGCAGCTTTGTATCTGTTTTCCATCTGCTTCTGTGAAGCCAAGACCTTTAAGGCAACAAAAAGAAATTAACTGAAATACTTCACCCATATACCTTAATCAGATAAAGCAGTGACTCTAAACTCTTTTTGTGGGTAATTGTGTGTCATTTATTCCTTGAGCCATTCAAGTAAAGCATATCGAAGACTCAACAGATTGAGATAGAAAGAAAGTGAGGCCGAAAGACAACATACCTGTGCTGTAGTTTGACGCAATTTTATCAAATCGTTGTTCATTTCTAGCACTGTTTGCTCCAGGATCTTCTCTGGGTCTTCGAAAGAGCTAATGATGGCATTAGCATAAGACTACATGCCAAACAATAAAACAGAAAATAACTTCAATGGCCTGATGATGCAGTAAGAAAAGAAAAAGAGGAATAAGAAATCATCATTAACAACTGACCTTAACTACTCTGGCAAATCTCTCGAACAAATTACTGCGAGTACTAAGGGCACCAGTTCTGAATCTATTAAAATGAGGACGCTGTTCAACTGCAAGCTTTAGAGCTCCAACTGTAAGAGAAGAAACTGTTTCAGACAGCATCAAACTTTACGCCTAAGGAAGCGGGAGAAAGAAATATGTTACTAGCAAAATCCAATAGTTTCATTCAGTAATATAACACCATTCACAATGTGCCCCTGCAACAGCAGCCAACGGCATTTGCTACAAGACACATACTATCATAACATGATCTATTTCGAGTTAGAGAATTTTACAGGTATTGGCAATAAAAAAGGGACAGCCCGGTGCACATGGTGTCCCTGCAAGGTGAGGGTCCAGGGAAGGGTCCCAATAGCTTTTCACCTATTTTAATATAATTTATTATAGATTTCATGTACACTTTTTTAAAAAGTATGAGATTTTCGGTACTTTAACAACAATGTTACTTTGTTAAAGTGTATTCTAGCTGCTTTCAGGATGGATTTCTTTCCAAATATGGAAGTGAGATTATATGGGTCAGTTTGGCAGAGAGGCAGTCAAAGAAGGGATCAGCTTGAGTGGTCCACAGTATTTTAAATTTTAACTAATTAAATCAATTTCCTACTTTGAGTCTAATACTAGTTTATTTATTCAGGTTTCCTTATACTCCCTCAGATAGAAGCAGAAAACCCCATCCAGGCCCGCTGGCGGCAACGGTAAACCAATAATGGGCGAGGCCCGTCCTCCTGAAGTGGCGGCCCAGTTGCCTCCTCCTGGAGCATTGGCCCAACAGCCCCCCGCTCTCTAACACCCTCCATATTTAAAAGTTCACTACAATACATTTGGGCACATTATTTAAGGATGAAATAGTATGGGTAATGAATAGTTAGAAAAATCAGTGTTGTTAATCCCGCATAACGGAGCGGCCAACCCCAAAAACGCTATAACGGTATAGCGGGATGACCGCTATTTAGACAATATATATGCAAAGTTGATATTATATGTGTGCATACAATTACATGTCATGCACATATCAATTCCAAGAAATGATATTCACGAATATATTACTCAAACATCATGAAATAAAGAGGCATTAGTGTCTTAATCAAAAGAAACAAATAATTGAAGTACCTTACCTCTAAACATTAAAAATTAAGTTCCAGATAATTCTTAATACATTCACAGTCATTAATATCTAATTATAACAAAATCATGGTTGCTGGGATGCCTTGAACTACCTTAACATGGAGATGCAAGCTATAGGTTACGTTTGATCTTGGTTTCTGTTTTGAGTTATTTTACTAGGGTTTAGTAGGGTTATTGTGTCCCCCACGTGTTTTGGAGGATGTATTGAGGTTATTTTTTACTCCAAAAACATCTAAAAGTAAAAAGTACTCCCAAATTCCCTCAAAACTAGCACTAGAGCAGCCCGGTATATTATAGCGGCGCTATAGCGCCCGCTATTCTTCCCGCTATAGCGCTACAACCGTTATTGCCAACCGCTCCGCTATAGGCAGCTTCATAGCGCCTAGCCCCTGCTCCACCCCGCTATTCGGCTATAGCGCCACTATAGCCCGCTATTGACATCACTAAGAAAAATTAGGAGAGATGATGGAAAAGTATGGAAGAGAAAGTAAAAAGTTGAAAAGGCAAGGGTAATTAAGTACTTTTAAAAGAAAACTTTACCAAAAAGGATAGTGTGGCAAAGTTTTAAATACATCCAAAAAAAGTAAAGTGTAGTAAACTTTAAAATACAGAGGGAGTACTAGTTTAAGAGCTTTTTATTACTTATTTCCTATTATTGTTTCAGGAAACTTGTCTTTGCCTATATAAGGCTTCAGTTGAAATAATAAGATCAACTTTAGAATATTAACTTTTATTTGGCGCATGGTGTAACACTGGAACTGGAACTTGCGACAACTCCTTGCCGAGGGCGGGAGTCGATTAATATTTCAGGCCCCATAGATTCATATTTTTCTCATTCTTCTTAGAATCATCGACCTTGAACGAGATCATTCTTCTTAGGATGATGGGGAACAATCACGTCACCGCAGAGACACTCAAAATCTTCATGGCAGATATTAACCAGCGACAAGGATCACTTGAGGCAAAAGTTACAGATCTTGTGACATCTTTTTCCACACAACTTGACGCCCTGACTAGTAAGTCTGCAGGTCCGAACACTGACTCAAACAACAACTCAAACTTCTTTAAGCACCATACCTTCGGAAGATCTTTTTCAAATTTCAACTCAAACAAACGGGGGCAGTAGGGGAATATATCAGTTCGTTTCAGCAATTGTTGGCCGTGTAGATGGATTACCCAGTCCATTTGAAGTCAACGCATTCATGGCAGGCCTTCGTCAGGAAATCTGTTTGGAACTAAACTTTCACACTCCAGGAAGCTTGGACGTCGCCATGAATCTGGCCAGGCAGATTGAGCACAAACAACAATCTGTGGCACCACTTCCAGCCACACAACCTCAACCAACACAGTCCCCTCAGCCCATCGATTTCAAACCAGTCTTATTGCTTCAAATCCAAAGCAGACCATCTAGGACTCACAACAACCTCCCACTGGGCATCGTCAGGTTTCCAGAGCGGAGGTCGCCAGTCGCCAAGCCAGAGGTCTTTGCTATCATTGTGATGAACGTTATGTTCACCGGTCATCATTGCAAGCAGCTTTTTGCATTAGAAATATGGAATAACGAAGGCGATGAAACAATAGATTCTGACTTTGCCTTGTCCCTCAATGCCATGTCAAGTTCCAGTCTGATTCTAGTCAGCTTCCTTGCGGGGTAAACCAATTCTGATTCTAGTCGAATCTGGGAGCACGCATAATTTTTTGCATGCACAATTGTTAGGAATAGTGTATAGAACTACACGTACATTTCTCTATAGTTGTATGGTAGTTATAAACTGTTAGTGCTTCTATATTGTTAATTGTTAGTCCGTTAAGACTATCATCTATATAAATACTATGTAACTAATCATTCTCAATAAGATGATTTCATTTCCATCTTAATATGGTATCAGAGCTTGAAGTTCCATCCATGACGAACTCAACCTCGGAGTCAAATTCTTCGCAACCTTCTTCGCAATCTTCCTCACTAATTTCTCCAGTAATATTCGATCATCCTTTGCCAATTAAACTTGATTCCAATAACACTCTGTTCTGGAGACACCGTGTTGAATCTGTGATCCGAGCACATAAACTTCACAAATGTATACAAAACCTCAAATACCAGAACAATTTGTTGTTGGCGACAATGGACAAACAAAAACGATCAACGAAGCATACTCGGAGCAACAAGATCAGATGTTATTTTCCTGGCTTCTCGCGTCCCTTTCCGAGTCTCTTCATGCTCGCGTAATCAGCTGTAGACATTCGCATCAGCTATGGAGTGAAATTCAAAAATTCTTTCGATCAAATGTTGTTGCCAGAGCTCGTCAGCTAAAATCTGAGCTATACAACACCAGTAAGGGTGATCGGTCTATCTCTGACTATCTGCTTCGCATTCAGACCATAGTTGATAACCTAATGTCCATCGGCGAACCAATATCCACCAAGGATCACATCAATGTGATTCTCGAAGATCTTCCAGAAGACTATGAGTCACTTGTATCATCTGTTAACTCTTGTACCATCCTGGATTCAGTAACTCTCTCACAACTTGAAGGTCTTTTGTTGGCCAAAGAATTGCGAATAAGAAAACTTCGAGATACTTCACAGCAAACGTTATTTTCTGCCAACGTTGATCGTCTTGAAGACTCTTCTCAAAACATAGAAGCTGGAACTCAAAATTCTTCAGAAATCACTCTGCTCAGGTTGCTCAATTTGATAACTCTGGTTGAAATCCTGTCTATAGAGGCAGAGGTCGTGGAGGTTTCAACAGAGGAAGAGGTGGTCGCAATGGTGGTCACAGCTCTGTTATTTGCTTCAAACTCTAACTCATCAAACCAATGGCAACCCTATCAACAACACCTTAATCCATATCCAAATCAACCCCAACAACCTCAACATAATTCCTTTCCAATGACTAATCAATATTCAAACCAAAACCAACTATCTTCATCCCATCATCCTACAGGACCAAGATATCCATCTAATTGTCCTACTCCACCACCTTTCAGTTGGGAATCTCCTGCCTCTCCATTTAACCATCCAACTCATAACCCAACTGTTCTAACTGCTGCTTGGGCCTGTGCAAACTCCTCTGTGCTAGGACCACCTCCATACACTCAGAATTGGTTTCCAGATTCAAGGGCCACACATCATGTTACAGTTGACTCTCTTAACTTTCAACACGGTGAGCCTATTGCTACAACTGACAAGCTCTTTATGGGCAATGGTAAAGGTTTGGACATTAAATCTATTGGTTTTTCATCATTTCCCTCTCCTTATCAATTATCTCTTTCTCTATATCTCAATAATATCTTACATGTTCCTGCTATAACCAAAAATCTTCTAAGTGTCGGTCAGTTTGCAAAGGATAATAATGCATTCTTTGAATTCCATCTTTATGAGTGTTTTGTCAAATCCCAAGTTTCTAAACAGATTCTGCTATATGGAACACTTGGAGAAGATGGTCTGTATAGGTTTCATTCCTTTCCAGCACTTGGGTCTCACAAGTCATCTGCCAACACCCTCAAGACTTCTTTTAACAGTTCTGTGTATCCCAGTTCTCTTATGTCTCGATGTAATAAATCTCAGTCCAATACATCTTGTAATGTTTGACATTTAAGACTAGGTCATCCTCATTTTGAGGCCCTCAAGTTTGTACTACATCTATGTAATATTCCTTATATCAATAAAAGTGTTGTTGATTTTTGTTCTGCTTGTTGTCTTGGAAAAGCTCAAACTTCCATCCTATCCTTCTCGGTGTTGTGAATAGCGGCGCGTTAGCGCGCAATAGCGGAAAAGCGGAGCGGCATACCTGTTAGGCGCTACGAGGAGGGGTCTCGCGTGGCGTTTGGGAGTTGCGTTCATAGCGCCCGCTATCGCAGCGGTGCGCTGAAGGTAATAGCGGCCGCTAACGCGGCGCTTTTTATGCTAAAGAGTACTGCGCAGATTTTTAGCGTTAAAATTTTTA